CATCTTTCCTTAGCTTAATTTTCTATGAATCACATTCTACATATTTTAATGCCTTCTTATTAGTTTTATCAGAACTCTTCAAGTATGATAGATATCAACCCTTCCCCTAACTTCTATATTACTAATATTTCTTTTCTAAATTGTTACTACTTGAAAATTACTATGCTATTCTTCCCATATATACCTTAACATTCATGCAATTAGATATTTCTATTATTTACTTTATAGATTTGTGATTTCTAGTCTTAATTAAGGAAGTTTCTCACCCCTATATTGTGTTATTTTATAGTTTCTCCACTTTACAGAACTTTTATTTTCAAATTTCTACAAATCTTTATTTCATCCAAAAGTTATTTTTGAATCCAATATAAAACAAGGGTCCATTTTATTTTCCTCAAGTCTGACAGACATTGTACCAGCAGCATGTATTTAATAATGCACTATTTTCTTAATAAATTGAAATATTTTTATCTTCTATTATTAACAAATTCCTTTATTTAGAGGAATCTATTCCAGAATATTCTCTTCCACTAATCTACTTGCCTATTCTTATGCCAATGTTGTAATCATTTCATTATGGTGAATATGATCTGATTATCTGGTAAGGCAAGTTTCCTTTCACCTTTTTTATAATTCAGATCTTGTCACTTTGTTCCCCATATAAACATAAGACCACATTATCCAAATTTAAAAATCAAACAAATGAATAAAAGTAAAGATGAAATCAATTAAGATGCTTTTTAGAAATATATAACATGCATATATAAATTTGGGGAGAACTTTTTGTTTAAATACTACTAATTTTTTCCACCTCAAAATAAACAAAATATCTTCTGTTCTGTTCACAACTTGTTGTATGCTATTCCACAAAATTATGGTTTTTTTCCAATTTGAAATTGTGTTTTTTGTTAAATGTATTACTAAATATTTTATAGTTTTTGGTGCTTTTGTGAATGGAATATTTATTCCCATTTCTCTTTCAGAAAAAAAAAAACCCTACAATGAAGGTCTAAGAATCACCTTTAGAAATAAAGTTTCTATCTGACCTCCTGACTCTTGTCTCCTGCCCTTCACTCTCCCCTCGAGGCAAGTCCTAGAAACAAGACTCTCTTTTCCAAGATAGGTCATAGAAACCAAATCTCCTTTACCCCAAAGCCAGGCATAAAGCCTAAAAATTACTCTAAATTTCCTTTTCCCCTTCTTTCTGCTAACAACTGGCCATAAAGTAATTAACATCTTCATTTCAAAGGGTACCTATCCCATGTCCGGAGGAAGGAATGCTACACAGAGATGCCTCACTGAGTTTCCCCATTCAGTCAATTAGTATTAGATCCTACCCTTTTTGTCTAATCATAATTCTACATGGCTGTCCATATAAATACTCTATTGCATCTAAGTATAAAAAGGGGTAGTTTTCCTGTAGCTTTGGATCTTCGCTTTGAAAGCTCCCATGTCATGTAAAACTATGATCAATTAAATTTGCTATGCTTTTTTTTTGGACAACCTTTGTTATAGGGGTGTCAGTTGTGACCTTGACCACGGGGAAGAAAAAAATTTACTCTCTTTCTGTCCCTACAGTGCCTCCATTAGAATAACTTCTTAAATTTTTAATCTAACCTTATCATATAATCCTAATAATTTGCCAAGTCTTTTTCATTTTTAACTATTCTATCAAATTATAAGAAAGAGAATATTTTAACTTTTTGGTTTTTTAATTACATTTATCAAACCATCCAAAAGTAAACATATATGAGAAAAACATACAAGTGAAATCCTATTTACATCCTGATCATGACTTAAATTGTTATAGTATATAACCTTTCAAGAAAATAATTGTTCCCTGTCCTTGGTTTACATGTAAGTAGTTTCTTTATATTCAACTTAGAGATCTTAATAAGAACAGCTAGCAAACTATCCTTACACTTATCAACCTATCAATGATATGGAAACTCCCCTGCCTTCTGAACTAATCTTTGTTAATTAGATCATAGGTACTATTCTTTTAAATAAATGATGTGTGAATTAGATATATTAGTATTTCCTTTTCAATATTTACATTTATACACGTCAGTGATATTGGACATTTTTTCTTCTTATACTAGCTCTATGGATTCACACAACTGAAAGAATGTTCCATATTTATCATGGTCAAAACTAGCGTAAAAATCAATGCTCTTTCCTATTTTTATTTTAAGACTTAGATAACTGCAAATCCATTTGGTCAGGGTACGTTTTTCTATGCACTTTAGTTACCTTTCTAATTTCCTCTATGAAAATCATTTATTCAAGTTTCATAATTATTAAGTCAATTTTAATGATTTATATTTTATTAGAATGTCATTCATTTCTCTAAGTTTTAAAAGATACCACAGAGTTGTAGGTGTATTATCTTATAATAAACTTACTTTGTTCTATGGTTGGTCTTATTTCCCAATGTAATCGTATGTTTTGCTCTAATAATCAGGCTCAAAAGAAATATTGCTATTTTCATAGAATAATCTCTGAGGATTTCTTTACCCTTTCTTATTTTATTTTTAATTTTTTTTTTCAGTTTCTTTGATTCTAGCTTTCATGATACTAACTCCTTTCTTGTTTATTTTATTTTATGGTTCTTTATGTAATTTTTTATGTTTGGCAAAGGAATCATTTAGTCAATGAAGGAATAAAGGCTCAAAAGTTGAGCCAAAATAGTATTATTTAATAAAATAAGATTGTGAGCTAGGGGTCATAATACATGTCCCATGTATGGCTTTAGGCAAATCATTTTATCTATCTGGCTAATAGTTTCCCCATCTGCAAAGTGAGGAGAACGTAGAGCCTAAACTTCCTTGTTAGTTAATTTAAAAAAAAAAAATTATATCGAGTAAAACTTTAAGCTCCATTTGAGAAAGTAGGGTGTTTGAAGGAATAAGAAACATTGAAACAACTAGACTGATAATCAATGTTTTAAGAAACAAACATATCTAAGAAAATCCAGTTTTTCTATGACAGTGAAAGATGGTCCACTTTCCTTATCTATGAATTCTGTTTGTTGTAGACTCAGCAAACTGCTCTTCAAAAATATTAGAGAAAGAAATAAATGGGTGCTTTTTCCTTCCCATTATTCCCTAAAAAATAAAGCATAACAACTGTTTATATAGCATTTGCAATGTATTAAATGTTATAAGTAACATAGAGATGATTTAAAGATACAGAAGGATGTGTGGATGTTATATACAAATATACCATTTTATATAAGGAACTTGAATATCATTAAGATTTTGGTATCTGTCCCCATGGACACCAAGGGACAACTATATAATGGAGGACTATGCTTTATGAAGGTTTGTGTCACAATCACATGCTTTCTGAAGGTTTGTGTCACAATTACATGGACTCATACGATGTTTCACAAACATGAATGCTCTAGTATAAGATCTTTTTTTTTTTTAAGGTGCTCATTATCTTTTTGTTAAATTTCAGATTAACATGAGGATATAAATGATTAGGTTACATTATTTGCCTTTCTAAGGTAAAATCTAAGTTATCGTTGAGCCCTTCACCCATGAGGTGTGCCATATACCCCCAACATTGTACCCATAAGGTGAGAGTTTACTAGTTACACTGTGGAAGATGAAGATTTAAAAAATTAAAAATCGTACCATGTCGTTCAACTACATTCTCAAATTATTCTTAGAAAAAAAGACATAAACTCAGGTCAAATAGTGAGTTTCACAGGCTCCATAAATCCTGTAACCTTGTAAATAGAAGTCTATGTATATTTATTTACAATTTTATTGGGAAAATTAATCATATTCATTAGATTTGCAAGGAGTTAGGATTTGAAAAAAGTTAAAAAGGCTATTCTAGTTGAGTAAACCTACTTTCTACCCTTAGACACTGATTAAACTCTTCCACGTCACTTTTGCTACTCACCAAAGAGACCACTTTGTTGTTGGACAACTACAACTAGTAAAACTTCTAGGTCACATCAACTTAAAATTTGCCTCCAAAATTCCCTTCTATTTTCTTGATTCCAATCTCTGAAGCATGACATAATAAAACAATTCTCCACTCTTGAAAATAGATGTTTATGTATCTGCAGATAGTCATTGTAGTTCTAAGACATTTTTCTCTTTTAGTATGATGGCTTTTAAGCAACATACCATACAGACTTTACTCCCTAAATCAAAATTTTGCTTTTAAACATAGATGGTTTCACCACATGTAAGACAATATTTTTTTTTACCTGTCATTACTTGCATGCTTTTATTTATTTATTTATATTATTATTAGATCATAATTGTGTACATTAATTCTATCATAGGATATAGTGTGTTGCTTCCATATGCAGTTTGGAAAACTCTCATCCAACTGGCTAACATAGCCATCATGTCTTTCTCATAATTGTTGTGTTAAGACATTTATATTCAACCTTTAGACAAATTCACATGTACTCTAATAGGATAAATTATAGGCATTATATGTATATTTTAAAGTTCTTCAGTGATAGCTCACTAATTCTGACAGAGGGATACATCACTAATTCTGATAGAGGGATACATTCATAGTGAACATCAGAAAGAACCCAGAGAAAAGAAGTACATTGTGAACGTCAGAAAGAACTCAGAGAAAAGAAGTGCATTGTGTTGATTATGTGACCTCTTAAGTTCTATAGAATTCCCACATACTTATTTACTCTGCTAAATTCTTAGAAACTAACTCATAGAAAAACTTTAAAAAATATTTTTCTTGACTATGACTTTTCAAAATATTATTCATGGATGGATTTTAACACACCTTAATCTTTATATTGAGAAGTCATTTTTATATTTCCTTTTCTGGATTCAGAAAGGATAAATGTAGCATCATTTACATTCATTCTTCTTGAGGAAAAAAGAGAAAATATTTAAGGGAATAAATTACAGTATTGTGCTAGGTAGAACAAATTCCAAAGTGGTAAACCAAGATCTGTAAAAGTCAACATCAAAATTAAATAAATATATAAAAGTATTACTTACGGATATAATTCAGAAAGCTGTTCGGCAATTGCATAAGCTGTTGGATCTCTGTCTAAGGCATACAGAGTAATATCTGATTCCTTCTGTAGAATGGCTCTCGCATGTCCTCCTGAACCAAATGTCATATCTAGAAAAATCTAGTCAACACAGAAAAAGAAAATTGTCACTTAACATAAACAAAACTTATTTTTGCCAACTATCTTAATTTCCAGAACCACACAGTGATTTTCAGTGTTGATGGTAAACAGAAAAATAAGTATAAAGTTTGCCTAAAGTTAAATTTTTTAAACATGAGATCTGGTTCAGTTATGAGTGATCAGTCCAAAAGAACTGATCAGAGTATCAGTAAAATAATCCCAGACAAAGATTGGCTAATTTCAGAAAGATTTACACCTCCCTCTAAGATCAAAGTGGCCAGAGTGTTGTGTTGCTAGTTCTTTAATGTTTTTTAGCAGCCAACTGGTAATATATTTACAACAATTCCTCATTTGGACATGGTTTACAATTACTGTGCCTCATGTTATCTAAATTTCTGTAATGGCAATGCTTTACATGAAAATTAAAGATATTCGGCTCGGCGCCTGTGGCTCAAGTGGCTAAGGCGCCAGCCACATACAGCTAAGGTGGCGGGTTCGAATCCAGCCCGGACCCACCTAACAACAATGATGGCTGCAACCAAAAAATGGCCAGGCGTTGTGGCGGGCACCTGTAGTCCCAGCTACTTGGGAGGCTGAGGCAGGAGACTCGCTTGAGCCCAGGAGCTGGAGGTTACTGTGAGTGTGATGCCATGGCACTCTACCCAGGGGGGATAGCTTGAGGCTCCGTCTCAAAAAAAAAAAAAATTAAAGATATTCAAGAGGCGTGGGAGAGAAAGAAAGGAAATGACTATAAATATACCAATATATCAAACAATAGATAGTCACATGACAAATCAAATAAAATCTAAAAAATTAAGAAGTTAACAAATATGACCTGGAAAAATCCAGGAAAGTGTAAAATTCTAGGTTTTGCATTAAGTATCTAAAGGTCTTTAGACAGTCATTTAAAGTCACAAAATACCAGTATATTTAGATTTCTCCAGTGTTTAAAAGAAAAGAAGATGAAGATACCACTACCTTCTTTTCAACTGGGAAGTATCATATTATCATTTCTCATCTAAACCAAGACACTTTGGAAGACAAAAGACTTGCTAGTAATAATTTTCCCAGGAACAAAAGGATATAATGTACATGATATCAATCATTAATGCTGGAATCATTCCAGATGAAAAATACAGTTGACTGAATCTGAATCTACTTCTTAGCTATTTTATTTGGCCATAGTCTAAAGTCAGGTCACAGTTGCACAAGAAATCAGACATGGACCATAAGAAACATGTGTGCACAAGTTAGTTTATTTTGACTGATTTGGGGTCAAGACACTCTCCACATAGCCCCTCAAAGTCATGTTATTTTAATGGGCCCTTTCTTTCTTTCTGTCTTTTTGTTTAGTTTAATAAGATTTATTTGCCTCTTTCTTTTTACTTCAAATTAACATGAAGGTACAGATGATTAGGTTATGTTATTTTCAATTCTAACGTAAAGTTCAAGTTGTAGTTGAGTCCTTCACCCAGGAGGTATGCGGAACAACCTCACATTCACCTACAAATTAGGTGAAATCCTACCAATTGCTCTCCCTCCTCCTCTCTCTGTTCCCTCCTTTCTCCTGCCCCGCGCTAGACTGTATTTGTGTTTTATCTTTCACGTGGGTGTGTAGTTTTTTATATATTATTTTTTCCCATTCTTCAGATATTTTACTAAGAAGAATGTATTTCATTTCTATCCAGGTAAACACAAAAGATGTAAAGTCTCCATCTTTTCTTATAGCTGAATAGTGCTGGAATTTTTTTCCATTCTTGAGATATTTTACTAAGAATAATGTATTTTATTTCCATCCAGGCAAACACAAAAGATGTAAAGTCTCCATCTTTTCTTACAGCTGAATAGTACTCCATGGTATACATATACCACAGTTTGTTAATCCATTCATGGGTTGAGGGACATTTGGGTTGCTTCCACAACTTGGCAATTGTGAACTGAGCTATAATAAACATTCTGGTGCCAAACATTCTTGTGGTAAAATGATTTTGTTCTTCTGGGTTGATACCTAGTAACGGGATTACAGAATCAAATGGAAGGTGGACTTTTAGTTCTCCATACTTCTTTCCATATATATTGTACTAGTTTGCAATCCACATAGCAGTGTAAAAGTATTCCCTTCTCTCCACATCCACATTAATGGGCCCTTTCAATAAATTTCACTGGTATCATGAAAACAAAAATACTCTAATATTACTGAATATAATTATAAATATTAATGTCTATTGACAAGACTTAAGTAAAAATATTCAAACATATAATTTTTTAAAGTTCATGTGTTCATTGTACAAGAAGAGAAAATCCCGTCATGAACTTCAGTATTTCTAAGCCCTGAATGTTATACCTTATTTTAAGGAGAGTGATCACATACAGTACAATTATGGTTGTTTTTTTTTTAATTACATCTGGTACACTGAGCACCATCCTTTGAGCAAATCCTCAGAAAAGCTATCCTGCTATTGAAAAACTTATATGGAGGAAATTCTGATCAAAACTGAGAAGATAGGTATAAAACAGAAAAAGATGTAAATATAATAAAAATGTATAAACATTTTTAACATAAATATTTTACTACTATGTATAACTTAACCTTGCATTTCTATTACTGACAGCACAAAAGTCATGGCTACATTTATTTTTCACCACTTGAAACAGTAAATTTATATATTTAACAGTACATAACTTCATCTGCTTTGCCAGTCTACATGGTATACACCTCTTTTATGCAAGTACGAATAGGTAAAAATCTTCCACCTTACTTCAGTTTTAAAATTGCAAGGAGTGCCACAAAAAAAATTTCCCAAGCAAAACTATATACCTCTTCAATGTTATGGCACTGATATCAAGCCTTGGTATCACCCTAGATTTAAACTGTAAGTATCAATATATTAAATAAAGCAGTTTGCATATGATTACCTTATCCCAAGCCAAAAAAGTCACACTCAATATTTAAAAAGAAAAATCCTCATTATTAAAAACATTCTGGAAAATGCAACTAATCATAATTTACATGATTATTTTTTAATATATCATGATTATGCCCTTGGAGATGTATTGACAATCAAGGAAGTTTCCACAAGGGGAGAAAAATATTTTATCAGTCAAGTGTAACACAGAAAGCAAAAAGTAGGAGACAAATGGGCTTTATAAAACTAGAATTGAATCTCACTATATGTCTTGGGTTAGTGATTGTGTCCATCAAATTTCACATTTAAAATTATAATATTCATTGTTTATCAAAAATAATAGTAGCATCTAGGTCTTCTGAGTCACTTAGTGCTACATTAGAAAAGGGAGCTAATTAGTTTTTCTTTTCTTCTGGGTCACTGACATGGCACGTTACCACTTTTTTTTCTGTACAAGGTGAAAATAAAATAAGGCAACTGGTCAATCTTTTTGCTTAACAAATGCACAAGAACAAATTAATATGAGTATTTCAAAACAACCCTTCTATGAATCTCATCTATAAATGTATTTCAAGTGTGTATCTTATGCTCCAAACATATATGAAACTCTCTTTGAAATTACCTAATATAACTTATTTAAAAACTAAATTTATTCTGCTTTCACTGACTACCTGTGTAACCCTGGCTAAATCATTTTAGCTCATGGAGCTTCAATTGTTTCATCTAAAAAGAAATGGGTAAAATGTACCCATTTACCTCAGAGAAATTTATAAAGATGAACTTATTTCCTTGTTAGAATCATATAGTAGATGTTACTTAATTTTACACATATGGAAACTTAAAATTATACTAAGCTAGTTAAGTAGCAAATGCAGGAATTGAATACAGGTGCATCTTGCTCCAAAACCTGTATTATTTCTTGTACCACTGTGTGTGTACATCGAGTCAATAGTCTATGTTTACACACTGCTTTATGGTTTACCAAGCATTAACGTTTTCCTACTTAGTCTAATAAGAGTTCTGTGATGGAATACAGACGATTGGCATTATCTCCAATTTTACAAAAAAGAAAACTAAGATGCAGAGAGAAAATGTGATTTGATTAAGATATTATTATTTAATAGTAAGTGAAGGAAAGATACCTCTAAACCAGGTCATGCCAACTCTAAACTTAGGGCTCTTTCTGAAAGATATAAAGAAAGAGAAAGAAAGGAAGTGAAAGAAAGGGGGTGAGGAAGCAGATGGAGTAATTGGGGTTTAGAATAAAAATGAAAGTGATTTAGAGAAAAAAAGTAACATTTGAGGAAGATGACTCCTAACTACAATCCTCCAACTTTACTTCCAACTTAATATGGAAAAATCAGTACACAGAAGGGGGTTAGTATGTATTTAATGATACAATATAAAAAAATGAAAATCTACCAAGGTAACTATGCTAAAGATCACAATGGTGATTTGGACATGAGTCTAGAAACACTCTTCAAAATATGACTCATTACCATATGACCACATAAAAGATTCATAATACAGGTTAACATGTCCACTTTTTACATGATCTTCCCAGGTGTGGTGGCTCACACCTATAATCCTAGCACTGTGGGAGGCCTAGATGGGTGGATCCCCTAAGCTCAGGTGTTCCAGACCAGCCTGAGTAAAGCGAGACCCTGTCTCTACAAAAAGTAGAAAAATTAGCTGAGCCTTGTGGCAGATACCTGTAGTCCCAACTATTTAAGGACAGGATTAAGAGGATTGCTGTGAGCTATGACACCATGGCACTAAGCCCCATGGCAACTGAGTTAGACTCTGTCTCAAAAGAAAAAAAATAGTCCAGTTTTTAAGAGTCATTTTACAGCAATGTATTCCTAACAATGCCCATTTTTCATTAATGAATAGACTTCTTCTAGAACAGTACAACAATCTGTAATTAATTGTATTATTTAACTCAATAGCATTATGTATTTATTTCCTAATCAGCCTCCTTTACATTTGAAATGGGAAAATAAATATTTCTTATTTTTGGCTAGCTCCTTTTAATCAAGTACAACCACTGTCTTCACTATTAAGAGAGTAGAGACAGAATTTCAGATGTCAAAA